AAGTGATTCTCTAACTTTTGAATTCTTTGATCTGATTACTTGTTAGATTGATCAAGATTAAGGGCAAGCATTTTTAGAGTGTTCTCATAATTGGTAGCACGGTGGTGCAATAGGACAGGAGCAACATAATTGCTCATTGGATCAATTGCAAATTCTCTATTTTGATTGAACTGATTGTTCTTAGGAAAATATCCTGGAGGGACAAGAGGACCTTAAGGTTGTGCTGGCCTATTGGGATTACCTTGGAAACCGGGAGGACCACCTAAGTTTTGTGGAGGCAAATTTTGTCGCCACGAAAAATTCGGATGGTTTCTAGTATCGGGATGATATGTCTGATTAAAGGAATTAGCTGTCGGTTTCCTATAGGTATTATAGGCACAAACTTGTGCATCTGAAGGTTCAGATGTACAGTAGATTGGACAAGCCTTAGTGGGATGAGATGAACTTGAACAAACATTGTATTTTGCAGGTGTTGACATGAAAGCAAAGGCATCAAATTTTTTATTCAAATCTTTGACTCCTTCCACTAGACTTTGCATCACTGATTTGAATTCAGGTTCGAGTTTGATCTCAAAAGGATTGGAAGTTCTTTTGGAGGGATCATTCCTAGAGAATTCGTCATCACAAGGGTTCCAATTCTAACTTTGGTCATTCTCAGCAAGTTCTTTTAAGAAAGCATAAGCTTCTTCCGGAGTTTGGGATTTGAACTTTCCTTGGTGCATTGACTCAATCATGGTTCGGTTAGTAGGAGAAAGCCCTTTATAGAAAGAATGAAACAATTGTGCTTTCTCAAGGCCATGATGTGGGCATTTGAGAAACAAATCATGAAAACGCTCCCAAGTTTGATGGAATTGTTCTTCATTTTTTCCTTTGAAAGTGCTTATGGCATCTCTCATTAACTCAGTTTTTTGCATTGGATAAAACTTGTTCATGAATTTTTTAACAAGTTCATCCCATATTCTAATGGAGTTTGGAGGAAGAGAGTTGAACCATGAGGAATCTTTATCATCTAAGGACAGCGGAAACAGACGCAATTTGACACCCTCATCAACTAAATACTGATTTTTGAAAGTACTACAAATGGTTAGAAACTTCCCCAAATGGACATAAGGTTGTTTACTTTCAAATCCATGGAATTTAGGCAACATATTGATGATATCGGCTCTAATCTCAAATTGAGGCCCGATTGGAGGAAGAACAATACAATTGGGTGGATTGGCTATGATAGGGTCATAATAGTCATTCAAAGTTCTAAGAGCAGGTGGGACAACCGGTTGTGCTGGTGGAACAAGTGGTGGAACTGGTGGATCCATAGGAGAATAATTGGATTTGGAAGAAAGTAACGATACTTTCTCCAAAGCAAAGATTGAAGGATCACTGGAATAACGGATTAATTGTTTGTTAACTCTTAACCAGTTGGGCATACAAAATGGACATCAAAGAGCACACGATTTTTATTTTTTTATTTTTATTTTTCAGGGAAAGCCCTTGAGAATTAGATCCTAAAAATGGGCTAGACACTGGAGTGCAAACACAAATCACACAAATATTTTTTGGCTTTTTAATCTTGAGCTTAAATTCAAGGATGATGATTTTTTTCTAAAGTAATTAAAGCTTCTATGAAAAAGCTCCTACTCTCTTCTAGAATAATTAGAGGCTTACCAATTAAGGCCTGCCAATAGGACAACCAGGAAAGTTTCCAGGAAGTGTGGGGAGGACGAGGCCTGTTTAATGACGGTACACTCACACCCTTAGACAAAACTTTCCTTAGACATTGTCGAGTTGGAAAGTACTCATTGGAGTGACCAAAAATTAATTTTGTCCTAGAGGATCCTATGAGCTATGTGAAAAACCTTATGGCCAATGTCTTCTTGATTTTAAAATTAAATTAAATTTGGCTCGAGTTTGACAAATGTAAGGATTTAATGATTTGTGGGCCACGGAAAACGGGTAATGAAATCCCGACCGTATCTTGTTTGGGTTTTGCCCTTAAGTATCTTATGCAAATGCTAATTAAAAGATTCACAAATAAAACAACCAAAAAAAAAAAAAAGGGAGTGAGAGTATGATTTTTTTTTTTTAAGATAAAGAAATACAAAAATAAAATCGAAGAAATTGTGAACCTAAGGTTACGTCTAAGTTATTCCATCCTAAAATTTGCATGCAAAAGTTAATCACCTAAAAAAAAACTAAGTTTTCCTGGTCTAAAAAAAAAAAAAATGAAACCGCTAACGAGAGATTTGAGGTATTTACTTGAAAAATAAAGCTATCGTTTGTCGTTTTTTCCAAGTGTGCTCCAACGAGAATATCCAAGCTTTGAATGCTCCAAAATGAGTCTCCAATTCGAATCGACAATTTTTTTTTCTTTTTCCTTTGTTTTTTTTTTTTTTTCCTTTTTTGAGACTGGTTTACCACAGAACCAGTTTGTAGAACTGGTTTAGATTCTTGTCCAGGTCTGAACTAGGACAATGCTACACTTGTAGCCAGTGGCTATTTGGATTTCTTTGATTATATATATATATCCAAAATACAAGTACTGTCCCAATCCACAACCAGAGACCAAGGAGTTCACGGCGAAGAGGAACGGCCGGCAGTTCCCGGAGAGACGGATTGTGAACGGCGGCTGGAATGGACCGGCGATGAGCACGGCTATGAACTTGCGGGGCGGCGAGATTGCGCAGCGGTGGACTTGTCTGAACTCGGTTGCGATCTCGGATGAACTTGGTTGGATTGGACGGCGGTTTCGGCCTCGGTCAGCTCTGCTAGATGAGGCCGGTGGTGGAGATCTCGGATGATGAAGGCGGATATGAACTCGTCTGGAACGGGCCGGTGATGAGCCCGGCTGTGAATCACTTGGTACGGCTGTGGATGACTTGGCCGGGAGGACTCGGCGGCGAGCTTGCGAGCAAGGTGGACGGGCTATGGGCGGGCGGCAAGCGAGGCTGTGCACGCCGGCGATAGAAGAACAGCGGGGACGAATGGGTGCGGCTTCGGCTGTGATGAAGCCGGTCGGTGGGCTTAACGGCGAAGATGGACGACGGGCAAGATTTGCCGGCTGTGGAGTAGCGGTGATGAGCAGCGAACTAGCGATGGGTTGTGAAGAGCTCTGATCCGGCCGTGAGGACGGCTGGTGGTGAGAGCTCGGCTATGGAGAGCTCGACTGCAGACGGCGGCGGAGATGAACGGTTCGCGGATGAAGACGGGCGGGTACAACGGCGGCTCGGAATGGCGGTAGAACTGAATCGCCTTGAGCAAGAGAAGAACCCACCGGCGACGATGGAGGACGGGAACAGTGGTTGTACAGCGAGCATGGAGAAGCCAAGCTTCTTGTTCTGTAAATGGGTTTCGAAATTTTTTTTTTTTACTCACAGTATAACACAGTTGGAAGAAGATGTATATATATATACATATAAATAAAAAATAAAAAAAAAAAAAAAAAAAAAAAAACAAACACAAGCACAAAACAGTAAGCAAAAATTTCACTCTTTGTTTTTTTTAAACTAAAACTGAGAGTAGAAGAAAAACAGAAGAACAATAATTTTTTTTTTTTTTTTTTTTTTTTTTTTTTAAAATAAAACTTAGGTGCCTAAGTGATCAAAACAGAGATAAATTTTTTTTTTTTTTTAAAATAATTGCTTAAAGAAAATAAGCACAACAAATTTTTTTTTTTTAATTGAAAAAAAATAGAGTAACAAAAGAACCTAAGCCTAAACAGTAAGCAAAAAGGCTTACTCTTCCAGTGTAGGAGCAAAACGAAATACAGAAAATAACAAATAAAATAAAATATAAAAGCCCAAATTACCAAATAGAAAAGTGATAAAGAATAAAAGATAGATTAATCCAAAATTAAAAAATCAACTTTAAATCGGCAATGGCGTCATTTGATAGGTGTGTATTTATGAATTTGTCATTATCAATAGGTGTGTATTTATGAATTTGTCATTATCAAAAACACTCCATATCACCATAAAATACCTATAACCATTTAACTAAAAATGTCTAACGGTAAGTAGGGTCGAACCATGGGAGTTTTTGTTTCCGGACAAGAGATTTTAAAACATTGATTTTAGAGTTTGTCACAAATAATTGAAATAAAATTACTACTACAAAACCATCAAATAAGTAAGTGAGAATAAAAAATAAAAAAAATGTAAATAAAACTAACTTGCATTAAATTAAATGAGAAGAAAAACTTTAAGAAAACATCTTGCATTAAATGAGAAAAGCTTGCGTAAAAATTACGTAAACAAATAAACTCTCAAAAACTACAAGTGTCTCTCACTATCTAACTCTATCTCTAACTATCCAACTCTGCCTCCGAAGTGTGCAATTTATAGTCAAATGAAGTAACCCACTTGTAGGTTGTGATGATGGCTTTGTCTAAACTACTTCTTCATTTCCTCGCGCCACCTTTCTGTTGCTCACTTCATGGACCACTTCACATATCAACCAGTTTACCTTTTCTTCCTAACTTCTATTTCAACCACTTCTTCACTTTTTCTTTTCTTCTCTTCTTTTCTTCTTCTCTCTTCTTCTTTTCTAACTCATCATCATTTTCTTTTTCTTTTCTTTTCTTTTCTTCTTTCTCTCTCCTCCTTTTCTGACTCCTGCTGCACTTCTTCTCTTTTCTTTTTAATTTTCTCTTTTTCTTCTTCTTCAATAATGATGTGGCATGTGATTGACTATGTAGCAAAAATATAACACCATTTTTTTGCACCTTGGATTTGAACTTGAAACCTCTCGAATGATAATTTGCATAACACACTAACTTTCCTACAATGCTCATTGTGTACATTTTTTGTTATAAATAAATACAATCTTCCTTTTGCAGTCAATTTTCACTTATTTTTCATTTTTGTTTCTTTTCTTCTCATTCATGCATTAATACCTACAAAACACAAAACAAGCATATAAGAATATTTTAATAATATAAACTCTAATTAAAAGCTTATTTTGATGCATGAAATAATAGGTTTTATGTACTTATCAAATGGTTCAAGGAACGTTTGGCTACTTAGACCCTGAATATTTCCATACAGGCCACTTGTCAGAGAAAAGTGATACATATAACTTTGGAGTGATCCTTATGGAGCTACTTACAGGTATAAAAGCACTTTCTTTTGATAAACCAGGGGAAGAGAGAAATTTAGCCACATACTTCCTTTCTTCAAAGAAAGAGAATCGGTTGTCCTTAATTCTAGATGATCGAATTGTGAATGAGGGTAACACGGATGAACCAACGGGCTAGTGGCCTAGCGGTATTCGCCTCTTACTTCTCAAAGGGAGGTCAGGGGTTCAAGTCTCGAAAAAGACAAGTATGTGTAAGTACCAACTAAGAAAAAAAAAAAAAAAAAAAAAAAAAAAAGCGTAACACGGATGAGATGCTTGAAGTTGCAAACATTGCATAGAGTTGTCTAAGATTGAAGTGGAACGAACAACCTACAATGAGGGAAGTGGCAATGGAGCTTGAGGGACTAACAAGAGTGGAGAAGCACCTTCTGACTAGTATCAAAGTGAATCAAGATGAGACCAAGTTCTTACTAAGTGGATCATTCAACTCTCATGGCATCACAACTGGATGTGATAGTCTCAAGGACAAAGACGTAATACCATTAGAGGTTGATCACGGCCATCTAGCGTCTTGCAGCAATATGAGTAGGACAATGACAGGGGTTCCAATATACCAAGGGGCATCTGGTGCACTTAAGTGGGACACAATTTGATGCACTTAAATGGAAAACATGTATGCCCTATTTTAGTGTATGTTTCAGTTGATTGTTCCCGTGAAACAACTACTCTTCATCTAGAGATTTGTTTTAATCCATGTAATTTGAATATTACATAATGTAGTTTTTTTTTTAATGTAACAAGAACTTCATGATAATCAACAGGCCTGTGACCTAGCGGTATAAGTTTCCTATTTTTTAAAAGGAAGTCAAGGGTTCGAATCTCTGTGGAGGCACTGTGAAGAAAAAAAAAAAAAAAAAAAAAAAAAAAGGGACCTTCATGATACTTCACTTGCCGGGAAAAAACGAAAATGGTGATACCATTGTTCTTTCTCGCTCCTAAATAACAGTAGTAGTTGTCTAAAAAATTGACTAAGATATTTTTGTTATGATATTATTAATAAACTTTTCTTTTACTCTGTTCAAGATACTGAGGTTAGGGCCATTCAATTTTCGTATGGTATTATGATCAACCAAACTCAAGGTGATTGACCTGCATAGAATTTTTTGCATAAAATAATTCAATAAAATTATAATTTATTATTATTATTATTATTGGCTAAAAACACACTAACACACTCACTTTTGTTTTTATGGAAACTCAAACTCTCCACTTTCTACTTTGAAGAGTGAGAAAGTAATAGCATAGGACTACAAAGCCTTTGGTAATAAAATTATATGATAAAATTACGTAGATTTATTAATTGATTATTTTCTTGTTATGTTATTTATTTTGTTTATTCTATTGGCGTAAATAGTATTACTTTTTTTAAATAATAATTCTTTTCAAGTGAAAAAAAAGGCAGACATTTTTTTTTTTTCATGAAAAACAGGGCAGACTAACCAAATTGAATGGAAGATGAATTATAAATTTGAACGAAACGTTAAGGAATGTTGCTTGTTTGAATATGGGAAATAATAATAATAATAAAAAAAATAATAAATAAATAAAAAATTGATCCTCTCATTTAAAGATCTGCAACTGAAAATAATAAAATATGAGTAATGATACTCACACAAACCATATACAGTGAATTGTCTAACTGAATGACTTTTTTATTAATTATTTATGTTTTTTACAAGTGAAGGACCTCACCTCCTTATTTGTAACAATTACTTATTTATACAAGTGTAGACCTAACAATTCACTGCAAGTAATTGATACAACACTCATTTTTCAAAATCTTATATTATGATGTGTCGTGTTTCGTATTGCAGTTAATTTTTAGTTTATTTATGCTTGTAGTCACAGTTATTTTCCTTTACAGTGTATTTATGCCTCGTGGGAAAGACTTGTATAGTTCTATTGCAATTGTTAATTGAAAGAAGTAGAATCGATTATCGTGTCCACCAATGCTTATTTGGAATGCAAGTATCAAACTGGAGATGCCCATACAAAATTCTCAAAATTAAGTCTTCAAACTGGGAACAGAGCAGCTAAATGGCTTCACAATGTGTTATTAGGCTACCAGTACTGTTCATGGCTTCAAAAGCTCAAGTACTAATATGACCCCTTTCTTTGATCTTTACAAACTTCTTTCTTTGATGAAGATTGAAAATATCACAAACTATTTCTTTCATTTTCGAGGACTTCATTTTTTTGTGCACGAGACGTTCTGTAGTGATACGGCTAATCGAGATTGGAATTGAATCTAAAAACTTTGCATTAATTTGAGAGCTTCATACAAACTCAGCTACATCAAATTTGAGAAAAATCAGTTGCATGTTTTGTTAAAGCTATTTGCTAAGCAAAATACTAGTGACAACTTCAGAATAACAACCTGACAGTGGCATTTATACTTTGAAAAAGCACGGAATGGATTAGGCTTTTTGGGAAATAAAAAAAAAAAAAAGCCCAATTTAAATCCAATTTAATATATCTAATGTGATAATTAAAAATAATAGATTGAGTTATGCTACATCACCCGACTACTCCGACAGTCCTCAAAGACTGGTGGGTCTCACATCCGCCTTCGAGTAACTTGTGACTTTGTGTGTAGTTATCGCTAGCCGTGTATTATGGAATTTTCCAGAATAATATCTAAGTAGGAAACGACTTTGTGAGTAGTCATCGTTACTTGAGTATTGTAAAATTTTTCAAAATAATATCTAAATAGGAAATGACTTTTGTGACAAGTCATAGCTACCCTAGTATTATAGAGTTTTCCAAAATAAGAAACTCATCACAACTTTCCTTGACTGGGTGGTGTTTTGTTGAAGCCCCCCAGTTCACAAGTCTGGTGGACTAGTCAAGCCAATGAATTATCCAAGGTTCTGGCCTCCATTGGTTTATTAATTGTAAGACCTATCTAACTTAATTTAGGATGGAACTTGTGTGGTTGGAGTGAAGTCTTGAAGACCCCAATTCCATTGGCCAATGGGTTTAGCAGTCCAAGTCATTAATTAGTTTGTTTGATTATAGGAATTATTGAATAGAAAAGAGCTTGAGATGTAACTGTGTTACTATGGTCGCTCAAGAAATTATTTGCCCTAAGAAGTATTCAAACCTTACACCTGATATTTCAAGAGGCGTGTGAATTAAGTTCTTATATATCCACTTAAGTCAATTCATTAAAGTTCACATAAACATATGAAAAAATTAAAATTTTAGTTGTTGATATTATGTCACATTATTGATAGGTTAATAGTATAATTTTTTTATTAAAAAAATTAATAAAAAAATTAGAAATGCAATCTTAATTAGGTAAGTAAAAAAATTGTAATGTTTGTGATTTTTATATATTTATATATAAATGTGTGGTAGTAATTTTTTTTAAAAAAAAAAGAAAAGTCAAAATAGAATTTTTCTTAGTGAGACCCACCACTAATGCACATTTGTATGGCCAAGTGGCCATTTGACCTCTCATTTTCTCTCTCCCCGTAAAAGCTCCCTCTCCCTCATTTTCATTTTTTTTTCTTTTCTTTTTTGCTTCAAGCTTTAGACATTGATTTCTCTCTCATTTTTAAGAGATTTTTGGATCTTCAAGTTAATGTAAGCAATTTCATCTTTGGCCAACCATAGGATTCTCGAAAATTGGGTTGGAATTGGGGTTTTTGCATTCTTTGAAGTAGGGGTGCTCTAATATATAATTTATTAGATTTCTTGTGAAGTTTTCTTTTAATTAGACTCTAGGCATGCTTAAATTTAATTTTTCTTGATTATGTTTGTTGTGGCTGTTGGTATTTAAGTGATAAAAGCATACTAGGTGTTAAGTGAGCTTAGAAATATGATTAAACCTTTTGTGGTGAATAAGCAGGTTTAGTGTTGATGTATTATATGCCTATGTTTTTAAATTGCTATGAAAAGTGATGTAGTAATTATGAAAATGAATTATTATATTTTATACTTTATCTATTTAAGTTGTTGGATTTGCTAATTGAAAGTATGTAAAATGCAATGATTTAGAAAGTATGATAATGTGATATTGTGTGAGAATTCATATTTTAAGCATACTTGAATGATGTGCCTGAAATGTAGGAAATATCTATATTGTTATGTCATTGAAGGATTTGCATAGTTCATGCTTTATCGTTAGGAAAGTAAAAAGGAAAAAGTTTATTTTAAAAACAAATGAAATTATTTTTTGGAGAAAAGTTTTTGAAAAGTGTTGTGAAAATCCGAACGCCTAGGAGGCGCCTAGTGGTTCGTGCTGTTAGTGTGATCTAGAGGGGGGCTAGAGAGAGATTCTAGTGTGGTTGAGCTACCTAGGCCCAAACGACGCCATGGAAGTGCCATGTGGTCGGGAAAAGTTAGCCAACCCCTCCCTCGTGACGCCTTGGAGGTGTCTTGGGTCAGATAGCACTAACGGTTTAGAGGATTGAAACGGTATCATTTTGGAAATGGGGAGCGATATTGCATAGTATGGCATTGCATTGGCATACATTGTATATTTGGTGGTTAGACGACTTGAGTATGCATTGTTGGTATTATCGTTGTTTTGCTTGTTTTCTCCGAGGCATGACCCCACTTACCTGTACTCTATTCCTTATGTGAATTCACGGGGTCAAAAGAAGTGTGTCTTAGACACTTCCTACTTAGTTTATACTCACCCTTTTAATATTTTTTCAGGACACGGAAAGGAAGTAGCGGACAACACTCCTTCATAAGTTTTGATGGGTTAGTGGACTGTTTTGACATATTTTGTAGCTATGATCGTAATTTTTTTATAAGCCTTGGGGTGGCACGTATATTATGTATCGACCTTGAAATTGATCATAGTGCCTTAAACGATCTCAGGTTCAAGTAATGACCTGGTTAACTATTCAGACCCTCGAATTTGAATTGTTACAAAAAAAGAAAATTTTAATTTAGGATGGAACTTATGTGGTTGGAGTGAAGTCTTGAAGATCCCAATTCCACTGGCCAATGGGTTTAGCAATCTAAGTCATTAGTTTGTTTTATTATAGGAATTATTGAATAGAAAAGTGCTTGAGATGTAACTGTGATACTATGGTCCCTCAAGAAATTATTTTCCATAAGAAATATTCAAATCTTACACCTATATTTCAAGAGGCGTCGGAATTAAATTCTTATCCACTTAAGCCAATTCCTTAAAGTTCACATAAACATATGAAAAAATTAAAATTTTAGTTGTTGATATTATGTCACATTATTGGTAGGTTAATAGTATAATTTTTTTATTAAAAAAAAAAAAAAATAGAAATGCAATCTCAATTAGGTAAGTAAAAAAAAGAAAATTTTAATTTTGGATGGAACTTGTGTGGTTGGAGTGAAGTCTTGAAGACCCCATTTTCACTGGCCAATGGGTTTAGCAGTCTAAGTCATTAGTTTGTTTTATTATAGGAATTATTTAATAGAAAAGTGCTTGAGATGTAACTGTGATACTATGGTCCCTCAAGAAATTATTTTCCCTAAGAAATATTCAAATCTTACACCTGATATTTCAAGAGGCGTCTGAATTAAATTCTTATCCACTTGAACCAATTCCTTAAAGTTCACATAAACATATGAAAAAATTAAAATTTTAGTTGTTGATATTATGTCACATTATTGGTAGGTTAATAGTATAATTTTTTTATTTAAAAAAAAAAAATAGAAATGCAATCTCAATTAGGTAAGTAAAAAAGAGAAAATTTTATTTAGTCCATAAAGTTTTAAGTAAGCCATACTTTATGTGTATTTTTTAAGGACAGACAAATGAATCCCTTCTTTATAAAATGTTACTTTTTACAAGGGTGCCTTTTTTTTTTTTTTTGTTCCTGAATTGTGTTTATATTATTGATACAAATAAACAATAATGTACATAAGGAAGCTCTTTACGCGCCTTTCTTTTCCAAAATCTTTTAATGCGCCTGGTTTGAAGTGTTGGAAGTATGTTCGGAGGTCTGGATGGTTTCGTCCACTACATCGTTCAAACTACAAAGTAATTTTAGTACTTCTAAAATAATATACGGGTTAAAACAATGAAAAGAGAGTGTTATTGGAAACATGCATGATTTGAAGCCTGGAATAAACACATCATATTTAATTATATATTCCAATACAAGTTATGAATTGTAACATAATCTAATTTTTGGTACAATGGTGTGGTTGAGATGAGGTCTTGAAGCCTTGAACTGGTATATGACATTTATCAGGGACCCACTGGGCCACTTGCACCCCCTACGTGGCCCGCCTATTAAATATATATAACAATTTTATATATATATATATATGAAAATTTTAATGTTACATTTCCTTAAAATTATTAGTTTTTGAAATTATCTATTAATTTTCTAGTTCTTTTCTTTTTAAATTCCTTAAAATTACGTGCCAATGATCAATATATGTACTCCATAAGCATTGTGAAAGTGAAAATACCATATCCCCATTGAGATTAGGCCTAATTATACACGATATTTCTATTGTTTTATAAATTACACCAACCTCTTTCCAAACTAACCATTAAGTTTGATTGCCACCTATAAATATTCACCTTAGACTAGAGAAGGAAATATCCTACAAAGAATAACCTCCACTTACTCTGTAGTTGGTGTAGTTTGTGAGTAGTCGTCACTAGCCGAGTATAATAGAGTTTCTCAAAAAAATATCCAAGTAGGAAACGACTTTGTGAGTAGTTATCGCTACCCAAGTATTGTAGAGTTTTCAAAAATAATATTTAGGTAGGAAACTCATCACAACTTTCATTGGCTGGGTGGTGTTTTGTTGAAGCCCCGCAGTTCACAAGTCCGGTGGACACAAAGCCATAGAATAATTATCCAAGGTTCTGTCCTCCATTGGTTTATTAATTGTAAGAGCTATCTTTAGGATGGAACTTGTGTGGTTGGTGTGAAGTCTTGAAGACCCCAATTCCACTGGCCAATGGGTTTAGCAGTCTGACTAAGTCATTAGTTTGTTTTATTATAGGAATTATTGAATAGAAAAACAAACAACAGGCAAGTGCTTGAGATGTAACTGTGATATTATTCTCCATTGATAAATAGTCACATTAGAGTAGAGAAGGAAATATCCTACAAAGAATAACCTCCACTTAAGAGATCAGAAGCAATCATGAGGTTTCCACAAATATTGGTACTGATGTTGCTGGTGGTGGTGGTGGTAGTGAAGTTGGCAGTACATGCAGCAAATCTCTCGAACACTCTTGCTAAGCCTGGTTGTCCACAAAGTTGTGGAAACCTTACCATTCCATACCCGTTCGGCACAAGCACGGACTGCTGTCGAAATGAGTCGTTCTTGATAACATGTAATGACTCCAAGCCATATTTTGCAACCAAAAACGTAGTATACAACTATTTCCATTCAGAATACTTATATTTAGACAGTAACATTAATTCCAACTTAACTGTCCTTGGCATATCACTTAATGGCGAGTTGCGTGTCTCCACTTGGTTAGGGGCATATGCGTGTTACAACAAATCCGGTGGATTGGTTGACTCCGACAATTCACCGTTTTTCACATTATTTCCCATCTCCACCACCAAAAATAAGCTCACGGTAGTAGGTTGTGACACTTACGCATACGTACAACATTACCTAGGACCTTGGTACGCAAGTGGGTACATAAGCGGTTGCATGTCAATTTGTGATGATTTTTATGATGTGGTCGCTGGTTCGTGCTCTTGTATAGGTTGTTGCCAAACATTGATTCGTGAAGGAGTAAGCGCATTTCAGTTGACAGTGAGCAGTTATAAAAACCAAACAGATGTTATAGTCTTCAATCCCTGTGGCGTCGCCTATCTCGCTGAAGAGGGCAGTCACACATTCTTCCCAGATGAACTTTCTAAAAACAGGACCGTGAGCGGATTTGCCCCGCTGCCGGTTGTGCTTGATTGGGCTATTGGCAATGAGACATGTGAAGAAGCCAGAACGAATTTGAGCAGCTATGCATGTGGGCAAAATAGCATATGCTATAATTCCACTAAGGTTTACGGGTATCTCTGCAACTGTTCTCAAGGTTATCAAGGAAACCCCTACCTTTCAAATGGTTGCCAAGGTACGTATGTGAAATACTTGTTTGCTTATGTCAATTAAAGTTGTATTCATGTTTTTAACTTAATTTATATTTTTCAATCGTTCACAGATATTAACATGGTTATCAAAATCGCGATTCTGAGTCGTAGAATCGCACGATTCTACGACTCAGCTCTTAAAATCGACTCAAATCGGATCAGAATCGCCCAATTGATAGAATCGGGGGTAGAATCGGTAGAATCGTTGGTAGAATCGTAGAATCGTACGATTCTACACGATTCTACCGATTCTACCAAAATGTGTGTTTGGGCGGGCTTTTATACTATTTGGTCTTTGGGCCTTTATTCTTTTAGTTGTTTGGGCCAAAGCCTGGCCCAAATTTTGTATAGAAATTTACTAAATTATATATTTAATTATTTATTCTATAAATCATAAAATACAAAACCTACTCTATTCTAATATTAGAAACGGGGACCCTATCTCAGAGAGGAGAGGAGTGAGGACTGAAAGGAGGCGGCCGTGCAGAGGCTTATAACGAGCAGATCGGAATCATCGAATCCATACAGCAACTTGCAGGTTCGGCCAGGTATGTTCTTCCTTGATCAGGAAATTTCTAGAGTTTTTTCTAATCTCTATAACCCTTCGTAGCTTGATTATTCTAAGATTGTTCTAACCTTGATTATTCCTTGATTATTCTAACCTTTTATCTACTTGTTCTTAGAAATTATTCATCATGTTTTGATAATCTTTTGCATTAATGGTCTAATTTTAGTTTTAATTTTAAGTTCTGAGTCTTCTGACTATCTTTTCCAATTTCTTTAGTTTTTGTTTTAATTTTACCTGGCCATTTAAATTTTTATCACTATTTTTTAGCACTATTTAAGAAACTGAAAAAATTAATAGAAACTGAAACTGAAAAAATTAATAGAAAGGGAAAAATAAGCAGAAAATCACTATTTATGAAACTGAAATAGTGATTTTCTGAAACTAAAAAAATTAATAGTGCGGAGGATGAGTGCAGAGGATGAGTGCACAAATCACTATTTATGAAACTGAAAAAATTAATAGAAAGGGAAAAATAAGCAGGAAAAAAAAGTGAGTAAGAAGGAACAGTGTAACATTGCAATACTTAAAAGTATGTGACAAAATGAATTTGATTTGTAATATAGACATTTGTTTCATCAGTGTGAATATTCCAAAATCATACGAAGTGGACTCCACCACAAATGCGGATTCTACATATGCCCTAACTCTTTGGAAAGATTTTTTAATTTGGGCATCTTTAAATTGGAAACAAAAATTAAAGAGAAGCAGGGTCATGATTTGGAAGCTAACCTCAGCTAGTGATGTGTATCATATTTAGAGGGAAATGAATATCAAATAGAACCTTAACTCTAGGACAAACAATGAATGATGTGATCAATTTTGTGTTACATCTTCTTTTATTTATATTCAAACTTTGAAATATTTTCTTTTACTTTTATTTATATTCGGACTTTCGAATATTGTTAGGATTTGAGATTTGAAGTTATGGATATGTAATATGGTGTGTTTTGGCCTTATTTTGGTTATATTTTACATATCTTATTGTTTAGGAAGTTAGTTTCAATTATTTTTTTACAATTTGGTAGAATCTTACGATTCACGATCCGATTCTACGATTCCGATTCTACGAAGCCCAAAACAATTCTACGTAGAATCCCGATTTTAACAACCTTGGATATTAATGAGTGCTTGAATGATAAACTCCATAACTGCACAAATAAATGCAATAACATAGCTGGGAGTTTTAATTGTTATTGTCCAAAGGGCTTTCACGGGGATGGAGTAAGGGGAAGCCAGGGTTGCATTCCAGATCAAACTAATCCACCAATATCGCTAATTACTCTAGGTAAGTGTGTGTATTGTGTGAATTTTAGAAACTTCAGCTGCATTGTTTCCCTAGTAGCTGTGGTAAAATTAATTTAAAGGAAACTTTATTCAAGTGCTTGGGCAAACATTTCTAATGGCATAATCTTTTTACTCTTCAAATTTTTTTTTTCTTTTTGTTTTTGTTTTAAATTATGTCACACGCACTTATTACTCTTATTATATCACAATCTTCCCTTGAAGCAATTGGCCCAGCGGTATCACCCTTTCTTTCCCAAAAAAAAAGTCAGAAGTTTGAACCTTGGTGGAGGTATGGTGTGTGCGTAATTGCTTTAATTTCAAAAAAAAAAAAAAAATTTGTAGAAATGCTACTTGGACTTAAAGTCTTCGGCATTTGCAATTGTATTGTGGTTGGTATAAATTTATTTTTGAAGGGGAGAAAATGTCTTTTCCATAATGGACAAACATTTTTTCTCCATCTACAATTTCTTAAATCAAGGTTATCTTCATACGTAATATGTTAATATATTATATAAAGCATAAAATGCAAAAAAAATAAAAATATAAAAAACTCATGTTATATTCAAAATACGTGAAAACCTTCCTAATGTTCAATAAACCCCCTCAATTTTTCAAATTGAGCAAATAAGAATATTCTTTTAAATTGAAAATTGAAATACCTAAAATACTCGTAAGACAAAATAAAATTAAAAACAAAAACTCTCTTTCAAAAACAAAGAGGTTATTTTGAGATTTTTATAAAAGAATTTGTCAAAATCGACCATCAATAAATATCAAGGGGACAATTTGCTCACATATTTCAAATATTGAATAGTTATATGCTCATACTACACTTGAGCGATGTTTTGTGTAGAATTTTTATACGACAAAGTGTTTTCTTGCCCTTTACCCATATGTAAATGAAAACTTTGATGACATCAAAAACCTCCTATCAAGATTGACTCCAAATCCAAGGAGGTTTTGGAATGATTACATGTATCAGAAGTGATTAGTGGTAGAATAATATTAGGTCATGCACACCAACAATAGAAATATACCAACAAAAAAATTAGCAGTGAGTTATGTATTTTTGGAGGCTTCTCTCCACTGCTCCTTATTTGGTTTTCAGGTTTTATTTTATTTTATGTTTTGATAGGCAAACACAGGCCTATTTTGCCACTAGATGTGGAGGTCTCTTTAACAGGGGATGGAGGTCATACTCCTTAAGTTAAGGGTCCAGTGGTATCTTGCTCCCATTTTAGGAAGTATATCGCTACAATTTTTTTCAAATAGGATTGTAAGGGGTAAATTTTTTTAACCATTTATATATGTCTACTATTTTTCAAGCAGAGATCAAAATCTGCAAGGGATTTGAAAACAATATTTTATTTTTAAAAATTGTAAATAATTTTAAGAGGATATACATTTGTTGTTCCTTGTTTTTTTTTTTTTTTTTTGTCAAGCTTTCCTTAAATTTAAGTAAAAATAGCGTTTCAAACAATACTTAACAACTTATTGAATTGCAATATGAAGTCATTTGAGTCGTCTAGGGTTCAATTGATTGAAATGCAGAGCATGCGTGATGAATTTTACTTTGAATTGATTGTAGGCCTTGGCATCACAGTTGCATTATTTGTGGGATGCTTTTTGTTATATTGGGGAATCAAGAGGAGAAAACTCACCAACTTAGAGAAAAGTTTTTTCAACAAAATGGTGGTTTGATGCTACAACAACAACTTTCACAACTTGATAGTTCAACTGAGACTGCCAAAATCTTTACTAAAGAAGAGGTGAAGAAGGCAACCAATAACTTCAGTGAAAGGGAAATTGTCGGTCGAGGAGGCTTTGGTATAGTTTACAAAGGAATTTTATCGCAAAACAAAATAGTTGCTATTAAAAAGTCCTCTGTCGTCGATCAAAGCCAAGTTGACCAGTTTGTTAATGAGGTGATTGTGGTTTCCCAAATCAACCATAGAAATGTGGTAAAACTATTGGGTTGTTGTTTAGAGACAGAAGTCCCCTTACTGGTTTATGAATTTATTACCAATGGGACTCTATACCACCATCTCCATGAAGTAGGTCATGTCTCGTCGATCCCATGGGAAATACGTCTAAGGATAGCCAAAGAAACTGCAGGAGCACTAGCATATTTGCACTCTGCAGCTTCCATACCGATCATTCATAGAGATGTCAAGTCTACTAACATACTTTTAGACGATAACTTTACTGCAAAAGTCTCAGACTTTGGATCTTCAAGATTAGTTCCATTGGATAAAACACAGCTAACCACAATGGTTCAAGGAACTTTTGGCTACTTAGACCCTAAATATTTCCATACAAGCCACTTGTCAGAGAAAAGTGATACATACAGCTTTGGAGTGGTCCTTGTGGAGCTAATTACAGGTATAAAAGCACTTTCTTTTGACAAGCCAGAGGAAGAGAGAAACTTAGCCACATACTTCCTTTCTTCAATGAAAGAGAATCGATTGTCCTTAATTCTAGATGATCGAATCGTGAATGAGGGTAACACGGATGAGATGCTTGAAGTTGCAAACATTGCACAGAGTTGCCTAAGATTGAAGGGGGACGAACGACCTACAATGAGGGAAGTGTCAATGCAGCTTGAGAGACTAACAAGAGTGGAGAAGCACCTTTGGACTACTGTCGATGTGAATCCAGATGAGACGGAGTTCTTACTAAGTGGATCATTGAACTCTCAGAGCACCACAACTGGATGTGATAGTCTCAAGGACAAAGACGTAATACCATTAGAGGTTGATCACGGCCGTCTAGCGTCTTGCAGTAATATGAGTGGGGCAATGACGGGGGTTCCAATATACCAAGGGCCATCTGGTGCACTTAAGTGGGACACAATTTGATGCACTTAAATAGAGATTTGTTTAGTGTATGCCCTATTTTAGTTTATGTTTCCTTGAAACAGCTACTTTTCATTTAGAGATTTGTTTTAGTGAATATTACATAATTTAGTTTTTTAATGTAACAAGAACATCATGATACTTCACTTACCAGGAAAAAACGAGAATGGTGATACCATTGTTCTTTCTCGCTCCAAAATAACAGTAGTAGTTGTCTAAAAAAAATGACTAAGATATTTTTGTTATAATATTATTAATAAACTTTTTTTACTCTGTTCAAGATACAGAGGATAGGGCCATTGAATTTTCGCATGGTATTATGATCAAGCAAACTCAAGGTGATTGACCTACGTAGAATTTTTTTGCACAAAATAATTCAATAAAATTATAATTTATTATTATTAATATTATTTGCTAAAAACACACTTACACATTCACTTTTGCTCTTATGGAGACTCAAGCTCTCCACTTTCTATTTTGAAATGTGAGGAACTAATAGCATAGGGCTACAAGGCCCTTGCCCCTTGGTAATAAAATTGTATGGTAAATTAGGTAGATTTATTAATTGATTATTTTTTTGTTATGTTATTTATTTCGTTTATTCTTTTGGCTTAAATAGCATTACTTTTTTAAAATAATAATTCTTTTCAAGTGAAAAACAAGGCAGACATTTTTTTTTTTTTTTTGGTCATGAAAAACAAGGCAGACTAACCAATTTGAATGAAAGATGAATTATACATTTGAATGAAACTTTAAGGAATGTGCTTGTTTGAATATGAAAAAAAATAAATAAATAAAATTATTGATCCTCTCATTTAAAGCTCTTCAACTGAAAATAATAAAATATGAGTAATGATACTCACACAGAAGACATATAGTGAATTACCTAACTAAATAATTTTTTATTGATTATTTATGTTTTTTCTTTATTTGTAACCATTCCTTATTTATATAAGTGTAGGTCTAAAAATTTACAGCAAGTAATTGGAACAACAACTATTTTCTATAAAATATTTAAGGAACACGTGATCCAGATATGTGTTCAAAAATCAATATGTAATGGTATTTGGTGTTTCGTATTGCAATTAATTTTTAGTTTATTTATGCCTGTAGTCACAGTTATTTTCCTTTAATGCCCCGTGGAAAGACTTGTACAGTTCTATTGCAATTGTTAATTGAAAGAAATAGAATCAATGATAGGGTCCACAAATGCTTATTTGGAATGCAAGTACGTAGTATCAAACTGGAGATAACTATACAAAATTCTCAACATTAAGTCTTCAAACTGGGAACAGAGCGCGCTTAAATGGCTTCTCTAGACACTAAAATTTTAGAGGGTTTTGGTTTTGACAAATAGACCGATTAAATATGGGCTTAATGTTTAATTAAGTTATTGGCCCAAATTTGGTCCACTTAAATTATTTAATTAGCCCAGCCCAGATGGTTATATATAAAGATAATTATTCCTAATAAAATATATTTGGAATAATTATTTTTAAGGATAATTATCACAATATAACTGGCCCGGCCCAGTTATAATTTTATCCTTATCAAGAGATGACACGTGTCATCATCCTATTAATCAAAGAAGCCTATAAATAGAGGCCTGAAGGAAGGAGGAAGGGGGTACACAAATTCAGAATTCAGAAGTACAAAGACTCAGAAATCCAGAGACTTAGAAGTCAGAGACATAAATTCAGAATCTAAACTCAAAAGCGAAGAACATCAAGCACATCCAACAACGTGCCGTTCTTCATCAACAAATCCCACGGTGATCAACAACAAGCACATCCAACGACGTGCTGTTCTTCATCAAATTCCACGGTGATTCAAGAATAAGCTCGTGCAGCTCTTGGATCCAACCAACAACAAAAAGGAGATCGAATCAGAGGACCATTTTTTTGTAAAAGATATCACAAAGGATTGTACTCCAAATATTTCTGATTTAATAAATTATTATTTTGCCCATATTTTGTCTTTATTGCAGAGTACAAAATTTGTGTGTACAAATTTCTGGCACGCCCGGTGGGACCTCCTTTACCTCTCATCTCTTTCTCCTACCATCAAGTTTCTTCTTTGTCAGATTCTATGGCTCCTTCTAAGGCTCAGACAGACAAAAAAGCCCCAAAGAACATCGCTGTTGCAAATTTCGACGCCAAAGCCACCATAAAAAGTGGCACGAAGGCCAAAGCAAGTGATAGAAGTACCTTGGCGGGCCCTGTGACACGTAGCAAGTCCCAGGCAATCGCGTCATCCAAACATTAGCAAAACTTGGTGAAAACCACTCCTACAAAGCTGGCAAACGTGAAAACCCAACATGTCAAGAACCCTGACATTGCTCCAGAGGAGATTCCGCTACCAGATTCACCTCATTCCATCCATGATGCTCGCTCTAGTGTCGGTTCACCCCTTGAGTCACCACGTCAGACTTCAGAGCATTCAATCACTTCAAGAACCGTTGACTCTCAAGCTTATCATACTTAGATGTGGTCGCTGCTATGATGAATGGAGCTGCCACGGTGGAGGAACAACTAGCAACTATGTCTCGTGCCATTGAGAACCTCACAAAGACTGTTGAAGAGAAGGACTTACAAATCGCTACATTGATGAACAAATTGGAAGTTCAGACCTTCGGTGAATCACCAGTACAATCTGGGCATCTTACATCTTCCACAACACCGCCAACTGGGAATCGTGCAACTTTCTCACCACCACCGTCTGGGAATCCTACATCTTCCACAGTAATGCCGACGGAGAATCCTAATTCTACTGCACAAGGTACTCACATGGAGGACCCCAAACAGACGTCGGTGACAGAACAGGGGGTTAGTCAAAACCAGACGCCGGTAACAGAACAGGCAGCTAGTCAAACCAATCACGCTTCTTCAGTCTCTTCATTATTTGTTGCACAATTGCAAGATATGATAACGAATACAATCCGAGCCCAATATGAAGGCGTCTCACAGAGCACTCTCATGTACTCAAAACCCTATACAAAGAGAATCGACAGTATGAGGATGCATGTAGGATACCAACCTCCGAAGATTTAACAATTTGATGGAAAAGGTAACCCTAAGCAACACATTGCCCATTTTGTCGAGACTTGCAACAATGCCGGAACAGAGGGGGACTTACTAATTAAATAGTTTGTCCGCTCCCTTAAAGGAAACGCGTTCAAGTGGTACACCGACCTAAAGTCAGAGTCAATTGATAGTTGGGACTAAATGGAACGAGAATTCTTGAACAGGTTCTATAGCACTCGTCGTACTGTTAGTATGATAGAGTTAATTAACACGAAGTAATGGAAGGATGAGCCTATAATCGACTACAAGGACTGATTGTCTGAAATCTCTGATGTGGAGATGTGTCACAGGGAATGCATTGGAGCCTTCTTTACATTCTGCAAGGTATAAAACCTCGCACATTTGAAGAATTGGCAACACGTGCCTATGACATGGAGATCAGTATGAAATCCCATGAAGGCAAAAGTCCCGTGACCATAGAACCACGCAAGGATAAGAAAGACTGGTAGAAGGGCGATAAGTCGTCAAAAATCGCTGCTAAAGATTCCATGGCTATCTCAACCACCCCAATCAAGATATCTGTTAAAGATGATAAGAATGATGATAAAAAGCCTCGCCAGTTTCAAGAGAGGGAAAGACATCATCCTACGCTGAAGGAGTTAGAGAAGAAGAAATACCCCTTCCCCGATTCCGATGTCCCTGGCATCTTGGAATGTTTACTCGAAAGTAAAGTTATAGAACTCCCTGAATGCAAACGCCCTTAAGAGATGGGACGTGTCAATGATCCAAAATACTGCAAATACCATTGTATTGTCAGTCATCCAATTGAGAAGTGTTTTATCTTCAAGGAGGTGGTGATGAATCTGGCAAAACAAGGAAAAATCTTATTGGACACGGATAGAGTTGTAACTTCAAATCATACTACTGTTACTATGACAACCTCTGTTGTGAGGAATGCTCATTCTCAACCTTCAATTTCTGAGGTTTATTGCACAGCCATCCAGTTTTGCTCATTAGAACCAATCCTTATCTCTCTTGGCAAAGGGAGTGCACTTGACGTTTCAACCTTTGGAAGGGTCTTTCCTCAGGATGATAAAGAAGGATGGACTCTAGTGACAAGAAAGAAACCACGGAAGTAACGAGCTGACATTTTTCAGACTAGTTATTCTGACAGGGGGCAAAGGAAGAAGAAACCTCAATATCACTATAAGCAGTCTGGCTATAACAAAAAATGGGTCAAGAAGACACAGTCAACTAAACACGCTTCTATAAGCAAAAGGATCCAGAAGCCTATTACTTTGCAAGAGTTCTTTCCAGAAGGATATCTAAATGACGAAGTTGTGACAGCTTACATGGTTTCAACTAAAACGAGCCCTGATGGTGAGAATAGCAAGGATCAAAATGAAGCCCAGACTATGGAGAATCATGCAAAGGATGCAGCCATCATTGAAAAGTTTGATGATGATGAAGTAGTCAGAGGTACGCTGGATTCATGTTATGCACCAATTATTTTCACTGACGAAGATCTTCAGTTGGGTTCGAAGCCACATAATTTTCCTCTTTTCATCTCCGGTTACATAAAAAAACAAAGAGTTATTCGAATTCTTGTTGATAGTGGATCAGCGGTGAATCTCATGCCAAAATTTACGATAAAAATCTCGGCATCACAGTCGACTAGTTATCTTGTAGCCATTTGATTATTCAAGGTTTTAACTAAGGATGACAGAGAGCTATTGGCATGATTTGGGCAAAACTAATTATTGGCGAGCTCCAAGCTGAAACCTTATTCCACGTTATTGATGCAAAGACGTCCTACAATTTATTGTTAGGAAGGCCTTGGATACATAGTAACGGTGTCATTCCATCGACTCTTCATCAGTACTTCAAATTCTACAAGAATGGCGTACAAACAGTTGTGGCGGACCATAAACCATTTACAGAAGTAGAATCTCATTTTGCCGATGCCAAGTTCTATATCGATCATGATACACCTTCGGAAGTTCCTATCCCAAGCCATCCATCTACACAAGAGGTTCAATCTACAAAAACAAAAGAAGCGTTAAGTGATCCATTAGATGTTTCAGTGACAGACATT